GAGAGGAAAACAGAGGAAACTGGGTGGTGAGAGGAAAACAGAGGAATCTGGGTGGTGAGAGGAAAACAGAGGAAACTGGGTGGTGAGAGGAAAACAGAGGAAACTGGGTGGTGAGAGGAAAACAGAGGAAACTGGGTGGTGAGAGGAAAACAGAGGAAACTGGGTGGTGAGAGGCACACAAAAAATTAACATTCTGTTTAAACCATCTCTAATTACTGGCATCATGAATGCTAACAGACTGCAAAGGTTGGGGTATATAGAGAGTATGGCAGATGGCAGAGAGACAACTGTGGACACAGAAGAGTTGAACGGGAGTAGACCATGGGACAGATCAAGATGATAATGGATAAAAAGAATCCAGACAGACCTAGAAATACTCAGAGGCCAGCTGGAAAGAGAAGGCTACTCACACGGATGAATGCAGTCGGGTGGTTTCTGCAGCAGTGAACCTCAGTGGCTTGGGATGTGGAGGAAGAAGAAGAATAAGATATTTAATTTATCTCACGTGCATTGAAAGTAAGTTTGATATTAGTAACGACAGAGATGAGATGTCTGAATATGGCTGCGGGAGAGACCGGAAGAGATACAATCAGGAATAATGTGATAAGAAAACAAGTCGGCACAGAACCATGTTTTAATTACATCCAAAGAACAGTAAATCAAAAGGTTTGCACACTAAAAGAGAATGACTTGCGACGCCTTACCAAATAAGGCACACACGAAAAGAGAAGGACGTAGAGCACAAGGTAGACCAAGAAGAAGATGGAAAGATAACATCAGAGAAACTCTACAGAAGGGCGGTGTGGCTGTGGTCGAGGCGGCCAGAAGAGCAAGAAGCACAACCTTATATCTCCCTCGACATCCAAAGCGGTAAGAGAGAAGATGAAGAAGAAGAGAAGGAGATTGACAGTAATCATAAACAAAACACATACACACACGCGCACAGGGAAGAGATCGCTAGTTTGTTCTCCCTGAAGAGGCGTGTGATTACCTGTTAAGATAATCACTCTGTGTGATATTCAGCTCTTCTAATCTCTTCCTAGGTGATCACCATTCGCCAGCTAGACAATGGACTCATAGATATGGAGAATTTAAAGATGCAGCTGGAAGTACATACAGTGAGTGACCAGCCCATTTTTCATACTCTAATGTCTCTCTCTTTATATGTATATATTATTTGGTTAGTCGAAAAGGTCTTTTCAACGCACTGAAGAAGACTAGGGTCCACCTCGTCTGCTGAGCATTATTGAGTCGTTCCACACAGGTATGAAAGATACAATCAATTTTGAGCTTGCAACATCGAAGGAGTTTGTAATAAAAAATGGAGTGAAGCAGGGATGTGAACTTGCTCCTACCATCTTTGGAATATTTCACTTCTTCTGACGCATGCCTTTCGAGATCAGGAGGGTGTGGGGGATGGGGGGGGGGTATATTTTTATTTATTCTCAATCTGACGGCAGCCTTTACAATGCTCGTAGGCTGAAGGCCAAAACCATATTTGGAAAGGTACTTATCAGAGAGCTGCTGTTTGCAGATGATGCCTCAATAACATGGTCAATTAGGGACAGGTAGAAGATGTCGAGGCCGACCTCTACTACAGTATACATGTGTGTGCAAGCGGGACATGAATGATACAGGTATTGAGGTGGACTTATGAGAACAAAATTCCATGGACCGTGTTGTGTGGAAAGGGTATATCAGGAAGGGAATGAGAGTGAAGGAAGAAAAGGTTGCAGAAAGGACGAGAGCTGAGCGTCTGAAAAGAAACTGATTAAACACAAATCTTGACAGTAATAGTCCTGAAATCCCATGCTATAATTGTGGAAGACTTATCTTGACACTGGCGGGTCTTGCTAGTCGCACTCGCCATCGCCATGGGCTTGAGTCTCATGCCTCCTCAAAGCGCAATATAACACTATCGTCTGGAAAGACGGAAAGGTGCCAATCATTATTTATATCTGTCTCTCGCCCACACAAACACGCACACAAGCGCAAGCACACACACACACACACACACGCGCACATACACACACACGCACACACACACACACACACTGCCAACAGGACATCTCTATCACACATATGTGCACAAAAGAAAACCTGCTGTGTCCCACATGCTGTCACGAGGATATAATAATCATATGTACATAGCAGGACATCTGCACGTGTACATAATATAACATCTGATGTGTGTCACACATTGTCAAAAGAACACCTGCTGAATCTCACACATGCTTTCGAGAGAACTACTTCCTAACAATCGGAGTCAACTATAATATTATGATTGAACGGGGCGTATTGGAATTGGGACATGTAGGATTCAGACATCCGGGGTATTAATCCTGTGGTCTGCAATCCTGGAGAGGATTCTAATTCACAGCCATGTTCTACAGTCGTGTAAAACTGATACATTTTCTAATTTACAGCCCTCTAAAACTGATACGTTGTCTAATTTACAGCCATATAACACTGATAAACTTTCTAATTTACAGCCCTGCAAAACATACATTTTGATAACTAATATCTGTTGTGTTAATTTACAACCATGTAAAACTGATGCATTTTCTACCTTAATTTCTACTACTGTGTTAATTTACAGCCATGTAGAAATTATACCTTTTCTGTGACAATTTCTGCCGCTGCGTTAATTTACAACCATGTAAAAGTGATACATTTTTTATCTGAATCTCTACTGCTGTGTTAATTTACAACCATGTAAAAGGGATACATTATACATCTGAATCTCTACCGCTGTGTTAATTGAGAACTATGTAAAACTGATACACTTTCTATCTGAAAATCTACTGCTGTGTTAATTTACAACCATATAAAAGTTATACATGCTCTATCTGAATCTCTACTGCTGTGTTAATTTACAACCATGTAAAAGTTATATATGTTCTATCTGAATCTCTACTGCTGTGTTAATTTACAACCATATAAAAGTTATACATGTTCTATCTGAATCTCTACTGCTGTGTTAATTTACAACCATGTAAAAGTTATATATGTTCTATCTGAATCTCTACCGCTGTGTTCATTGACAACCATGTAAAAGTGATACATGTTCTATCTAAATCTCTGCCGCTGTGTTCATTGACAACCATGTAAAAGTGATACATGTTCTATCTAAATCTCTGCCGCTGTGTTCATTGACAACCATGTAAAAGTGATACATGTTCTATCTAAATCTCTGCCGCTGTGTTCATTGACAACCATGTAAAAGTGATACATGTTCTATCTAAATCTCTGCCGCTGTGTTCATTGACAACCATGTAAACGTGATACATGTTCTATCTAAATCTCTGCCGCTGTGTTCATTGACAACCATGTAAAAGTGATACATGTTCTATCTAAATCTCTGCCGCTGTGTTCATTGACAACCATGTAAAAGTGATACATGTTCTATCTAAATCTCTGCCGCTGTGTTCATTGACAACCATGTAAAAGTGATACATGTTCTATCTAAATCTCTGCCGCTGTGTTCATTGACAACGCGTGCAGAAGTGCAGCTGCAGCAACAGACATCTTCTCATCGGCTCGTTCACGGCCGCCTCCAACGTGACTGGAATCCTCACCGATGTCGACTCACTGGCCACCTTGATGCACTGCTACGGAGGTTTCGCCTTCTTTGACTACGCTTGTGCGGCTCCGTACACAGATATTGACATGAATCCTTGCGAGTGAGTTTCCTTCTGAGATATCTCTTTCGTTTGTGGGTTACGGGACCCTTCTGGCGGAGGGGAGGAACACACCCCTGGGACCCCGCTCCTGAAACAAGCCTGTCGTTGAAAAAACTAACACAAAAAACAAGTCTTTTTCGAAGGTTTGCTAAAATGATGTGTGTTGATTGGAAAGGCAGGGATTTTGCAGCTTAGCTGTAAACTACACAACATCGTTCCAAAAATGCTTTTGAGGGTGATGAGACGTGATTCGATTGTAAAGACTGTATTTCAAGGAACACTGGGGGTAGTCGAACAAGAGGAGGGTATAGAAAAATATGGAATGACAACATCAATAAATGGACAGGACTGAGTTATCATATACTTATTACCCCGTGTGGGTTCCATATTATAGGGAAAACAAGAACAGACCCACTGTCTATCCAAAAGCATGTTGTAAGAGTTGAATAATTGGAAGCTTCCTTCGGAGTATATCTGCCTGAGAGGCAAGGAACCAACAGTCTGCACACAATAAATGTGTCAAATTTGTCAAATGGGTCATCGCGCAACCCTCAGGTTCTGTAACAGGGCTGCGGTCTAGAAGTGGACAAACAACCAGAACTTTCCACCAGAGTTTACAGCTGGTGAACGCATAGAAGAAGATATACTAATTGATCAAGCTGAAGACAGAGAAAGATGGCTGATTTTATGTTCTAGTGCTTCCATTGACACATTTCCACGACCCTAGCGGGTCAAAGGTTATGTTATGTTATGTTAAAGGCGACGAGAGAAGAAGACAAAGGAGATTTTTTGCAGACGAGAATGTTTTGTTGTGCTGTAGGGAGGCTTTGTCAATTTTGTTTTGTTTTTGGCGGCTGGGGGGTGGGGGTGTCTATTTCCCAATTCTTCAGAACTTTATATGTGACAATACTTCTTGTATTTTTAATCCTGGAAATGAAATAAGTGGGACTACACCACGAGACAGACAAGGTTTCGATTTTTTTGAAACAACAAAATCCTATGACCATACCTAGGATTCAATCCTAGACCTCCAGCTGGAGGGCCCAGCATTCAGAACCATTCATTCATAACCACTCCACCATATTCTTCTTGCGACATTCTTGTGAGAGCAGTGAGTTTATTCCGCACTGCCAGATGGGAAAATAGAACATCACACGGGGAGACTGGAACATCACACGGGGAGACTGGAACATCACTCAAGGAGACTGGATCATCACACGGGGAGAAAGAATACATACATAATATACAAACCTAGACAGGGACCATGTCACATAGCCTGATTGATTGATTTTCTTGTTTATCACTTGTGTTTTCCAGTGATTCCGCCTACAAGGATGCCATTTTTATATCACCGCACAAATTTATTGGTGGACCACAAACTCCAGGTGACTGCTTTCTTGTTTCATTGACATCTGTGTCTGTCTCGGTCTCTGTGTGTTAGTTTGCAAATGTTGTTCCATGAGTCTGGTGCTAATAATGCCAGACATGGTCACTCCCAACAAACAAAGATATCGAGGTAAACCAAGAACCAGGTTAAAGAATAACATCAGAGAAAATCTATAATAGCACGACGTGTCTACTGTCGAGGCGTCCAGAAGAAAAAAGGCATAGCCTGAAATCTCCCTTGACACCCGAAGCGATAGACGAGGAAGTGAAGAAGAAGACGTTAAGAGAATAGTAATAAGAGATGTTAATGTCAAAGTGAGAAGTGAACACATCTGTAATGTCAAAGTGGGAAGTGAACACACCTGTAATGTCAAAGTGGGAAGTGAACACATCTGTAATGTCAAAGTGGGAAGTGAACACATCTGTAATGTCAAAGTGGGAGGTGAACTCATCTGTAATGTCAAAGTGGGAAGTGAACACATCTGTAATGTCAAAGTGGGAAGTGAACTCATCTGTAATGTCAAAGTGTGAAGTGAACACATCTGTAATGTCAAAGTGGGAAGTGAACACATCTGTAATGTCAAAGTGGGAAGTGAACACATCTGTAATGTCAAAGTGGGAAGTGAACACATCTGTAATGTCAAAGTGGGAAGTGAACACATCTGTAATGTCAAAGTGGGAAGTGAACACATCTGTAATGTCAAAGTGGGAAGTGAACACATCTGTAATGTCAAAGTGGGAAGTGAACACATCTGCAATGTCAAAGTGGGAAGTGAACACATCTGTAATGTCAAAGTGGGAAGTGAACACATCTGTAATGTCAAAGTGGGAAGTAAACACATCTGTAATGTCAAAGTGGGAAGTGAACACATCTGAAATAAGAGAGCTATGGGAAAGGAAGCAGCTAACAATCACTAAACAGGCACTGTGATGATAAATGAATGGACTGAAAAATGAGGATGTGTAAGAGAAACCCTCAGAGGAATTTTGACGAGAGACGTGTTGGACTGGATTACATCAATGATATCAGAAAGAACTGCAGATGGTAGAACAGAATGGAGGAATAGACTGTGAGCTTTTATTCTATCGCCCGCCCATCACAAGTGATGGGGACCAATATTTCATTCATTTACCATGAAACTACAGTTGAATGTTTGTGAGTCCAAAGGTGACGTATAAGTCCAATACGTGCCCTAAAGAGTCTAGGACAATGAGGGCAGGGGGCAATTTCTGTAGACAAAGGGCCTGTTTGACGGCTCTTTCTGGCATGTATTCGCTGTTCAGCTGTCCTTGTTCTAGATGCCTCGCAGATCTTTGCACCATTTCCGATATATGTGCGTCATAAAGTCCGGTCTTGTGCTGCAGCCTCCCAGGTGTCAGGGTTTATACTGAAGGCTTTCAATGATGTCTTTAGTGTGTCCTTAAAGCGATTGTTGTTCTGGCTCCCATGAGAACGTCGACCTTCATGTATCTCACCATATAAAATTATTTTTGTTAGCCGATGGTCAGGCATTCGAACAATATGGAAAGCCCATGGAATCTGTGACTGCAGCAGGATGGTATTGATGCTGGGAATGCCAGCCTTGTCCAGTAGGACAGTGTCGGGGACCATGTCTTGTCACTTGATGTCCAGTATCTGTCTCAGACAGAGTGTATAGAAGTTGCCTGAGGTCTGTATACAGTCAATGTTTCACAGGCATACAGTAGCACAGAAAGCACCACAGCTCTGTATACCTCCAGTTTGGTGTTCAGACTGGTGCCCCTACGATGCCCGACTTTCGTGTATAATCTGATAAATGCACAACTGGTTTCAGAGATCCTGATGCTCACCTCATCGTCGACGGTGACATTCTGAGACAATGTACTACCGAGGTATGTGATACTTTGCCTGGTGCTGGCTGCTACATAATTTCGGTTTCCTCAGTGTGAGCCTAAAATTGGTACAGGCCTCAAAGAATGAGCTAAGCTGAGTTGAGTCAAGAATTGACATCACAGCACTCGGGGCATTGCCTTGAGTACTCCGTCCTCATCTTCAGCAGCCAGCGCAGAGTTCTAATACTGATGATACCGGTCACAATCTGGTTATAGGTCTGTCTTGCCTCTCCTCTGAGTTTAGTGAGCCGACCAGAGCTTCTGGTTACACCCAGGTGCAGGCCTCGAAGAATCTGTCCATGTTATACTGCAGATCTGCTTCTGAAATGGCATTGCGAGCACAGTCATAAGTAAACAGAAGATTCCTAATATTACGTGATTTAACTTTGGTTTTCGCATTGAGCCGCCTAAGATTGAACAGTTTTCCATCGAAGCGAATAGAAATTTCGATTCCTTTATCTCGATCTCGAAATGCGTCAAACAGTAGAGCTGAGAACATGATACTGAATAGAGCTGGTTCGAGTACACATCCTTGTTTGACACCATTTGTAACATGGAATGGTGTAGAAAATTCTCCATTTTCCTGGATTCTGGCCTGCATACAATCATGCAGTTGCTGTATAACCCTGATACATTTTCTTGGGCAGCCATATTTGGTCATTATCTTCCACAGACTCTCTGTTGACTGAGTGAGGTCAGTGAAAGCCGTGAACAAACCATAATTCTGTTCCTGGCCATTTTCCGTGTAGCTGCCTTTCGTCAAACACCATGTCTATGGTTTCGCGCTCTTTCCAGATTCTGCATTGGTTTTCGGGTAGCAGGCCTTCATCAAGGTGTGTCGAACTACGATTTAGAGAAGTATTGTTGCCTAAATCCTTACCTGCGCTTCACCTGATATATAATCGACAAAACAGTGTGATGGTAATACAGGAGTTATTGTTCCTGGTTCTGTCTGTGTTGTTGTCTCGTTATGTTTCTTTTGTTTGTTCCTTATTTGTGACTGTTCATTCCTTCTTAGTCTTCCATCCTCTTTTTTTTTTCCTTCTCCCTAGCCGTGGTTTTCAGATAAGAAGTTTGCGGTGCGACGGATGTTTGGGCTCCTTCTAGGAGGAGGGCCCGATACTGTTCCCACCTGAAGGTTTCAACACGTTCAACATCACATCCAACATTCTCGATCACTGACATTACAGGGAGGAATTGCGCAATGCCGTAATTGTCGGATTCGGATGTGATGCCTTTCTGCAGCTCTTGGCCCAACAACTGGGACCTTTCTGTTAGAATGAGCTCCCGTAGAAGGATTGCTGTTCTAGCTGAGGAGCTTCAACAGTCTGGTTTCAGTCTTTCATGTTCTCTCTGTAATTAGTTTTCATGTCGTCTGTTTATTTAAAATCCAATATAATTTGTTTTGAAATTCTGTATTGTTTCTGTTATGTCTTTTAATGTTTCTTAACACTTTCTTTTTTTAAATGTCTACCCTCTGTGCGTTCTTATTCCATGCTCTGTTGATATACATCTTTTTGTTGTTGTTGTCAATAACCCTGAAATAGCTGTTTCGATTTAGTAGCACACTACTTTGCATCGATTTCAATAACAGTGTGAGCGTTCAACTGTTTAGAGAGCAATGGCAAACCACTGTACTTACACTCAGCGGATTTGTCTGCGGTTTTGTTTTAACACTTGATCTGAAGCATAATGTTGTATGTTTATCTCCGAAGGTATCCTGGTGGCCAAGAAATGGTTGTTCCAGAACCCAGTACCTCATGGAGCTGGAGGGGGCACTGTTGTTTTTGTAAGTCAAGCCATGGTATCAGAAATTTCTCTTATTATTATTATTTCCTCAACCAAGATTTAGTCTACTGCTGGCTTGCTGGGTCTGTCGCAGTTTAAGGGGAAAAAGACCCTGTCATTTAGACATAATGGAAGCTGAACTAGAGGTCGACCACTCAAGCTAAGAGTAGATAGAATATCCGAGGTCATAAATACCGGCATCTATCTAGCACATCCTAAGACTTGCAACCAATGTCTCTTCAAATCCTGACACTGAAACGCAGAAAAGGACCAGAGAAGAAGAAGAAGAAGCCATTGTATGTCTATCCCTTCCTGGCATAGGACTGCGTGTGACTCCTGGCTGATGTAGCCATTACTGATGCCCTAATTATAACTTGTGTGGAGGAAGAGCGGGGTAACTGCGATCTGGCTTGTTTCTCTGGCGTCCAGATTGAGATGTCTTTAAATCTCGGGATGTTATGGTAATGAATGAATCAGTCAATCAAGAACGGAACATCTCTACACTCGGGACGTGCCCCGTCTCCTCATTCGGTAGCAACAAAGATCCGATATGCTAAAAGTACCAGCTACAACCTGATTACAAGTCCGCCATTGCTTCCTCCTCAGTGTTGAATATACTCAAGTCCCTCTGCTCTCACCCGCCCCTGTTTCCTTCTCAGTGTTGAATATACTCAAGGCCTCTGCTCTCACCCGTCCCTCCTCCCCCTGAATTAGCCTGCTAATGTATGGTTGCTCTGTCTGTTCTGTTGCACTGTCTCTTGATCACAGAGCGCGGTCACCACCACATCCGCTTTGTCACAGAGGAGCCGCAGCAGCCAATCTATTAACTGCTTATTACCCCGAACATCCTGGACAGACAATCCGTGATATGTTCCTGATCTCACCAAGTGATGCAAGTCCCTCTACACGTAGGAGGCCAGTTTCTATTTTCTGAAGCATGTTCTGAGTCCATTACAATTAATACAGGTTGGACTGTGCTGCTCTCCAGCCATCAGAAAGCTGCCGTTACCGCCTCCACCTCCATTCTCATACAGGTTGTTGTGACATTGTACGCGAGGATCTCTGTTTTCACGCAGGGTCCAATCAGTCTCATTGCAATAAACCCCACCCACTCTTTCTATACCTGTCACCACAGATCCATCTGTGTTTTTATAACGATATCTCCTGGAAGTGAATTTTCATTGATCAGCTCTTGCAGAGCTGACTGTTTCAGCAGCGATCCCTTCCCAGCATTCTCGGTCCAAGGTAACTTTGTTGTAAGATATGACTGAGCAACAGAGTAGCGATTATTAGTACTTCTTGTTCTTTGTTAATTTAGTCAGATATAACAGTAGTCGGTACTGTCTGTTCTCTGTTACCTCGGTCATATATGACTGATCTACAGTACAACAGTAGTCGGTACTGTCTGTTCTCTGTTACCTCGGTCATATATGACTGATCTACAGTACAACAGTAGTCGGTACTGTCTGTTCTCTGTTACCTCGGTCATATATGACTGATCTACAGTACAACAGTAGTCGGTACTGTCTGTTCTCTGTTACCTCGGTCATATATGACTGATCTACAGTACAACAGTAGTCGGTACTGTCTGTTCTCTGTTACCTCGGTCATATATGACTGATCTACAGTACAACAGTAGTCGGTACTGTCTGTTCTCTGTTACCTCGGTCATATATGACTGATCTACAGTACAACAGTAGTCGGTACTGTCTGTTCTCTGTTACCTCGGTCATATATGACTGATCTACAGTACAACAGTAGTCGGTACTGTCTGTTCTCTGTTACCTTGGTCATATATGGCTGATCTACAGTACAACAGTAGTCGGTACTGTCTGTTCTCTGTTACCTCGGTCATATATGGCTGATCTACAGTACAACAGTAGTCGGTACTGTCTGTTCTCTGTTACCTCGGTCATTTATGGCTGATCTACAGTACAACAGTAGTCGGTACTGTCTGTTCTCTCTTACCTTGGTCATATATGGCTGATCTACAGTACAACAGTAGTCAGTACAACCTGTTCTCTGTTACCTTGGTCAGATTTGGCTGATCTACAGTACAACAGTAGTCTGTAGAACCTGTTCTCTGTTAACCCCTTGTTAGTTCGGCGATGTAAACAAAACCTGACATCCCACATTCTCGGCACATTGTAGCAAACCGGAGAACTTCATGCTCTGACAGGGCAAGGATATCTGTTGCTACAGAAGCTACTGGAACACTTGTACTGGACAAAGGAGACATTCTGAACACCATTTATGAAAGAATACTGATAGAAGACACGAGGTGAGATGAAATAACAAGGGTGGGAATGTCGAATTAGGAGTGGGTCCGGCAAGAATAAACGTACGAGCGGAAGATAACGAAGTGTGTATAATCAGTGTGCTACGGGAACTGTTTACATTTTAAGTCTTTTGCTGCAGTAGACGGAGGAGCAATGGATCACCACAGTGTGGTCAGATTGATGCAGCGGGGGGTGACGAGGGGTTCTGGCCGATGATCGACGCTCAGAGGAAAGGCAAGACGGACGTTTAATCATAATGTTACTGGCAAAATTAGTATTGGTACTGTGCGCTGGCTTCTAAAGATGGAGACAGAACACTTATGGGAATGCCCCGAGTGCTGTGATGTTGGTTCCTGAATCAACTCAGCTGCTGGAGACGGGGCGTCTATTACAAAAGAATGGCCTGGTTATTGTCTCACACTTTTAAGGTTTTCATTTAAAGCCCTAAATAGGCACATGAATATATTGACAGCAAAAAAATACTATAAGCAACATCAGCTTCATCAGTCTATCGGAGGATGAAAAAAGATTAAAGGAACGTGATCACTGTTGTCTACTTCGGATATCTGAAGAAGTCGAAAGGATGAGGGGACAAAGAAGCACAAACAGAAGGAATGAGACGAATAAGAATGTGTAATGTTAGTTGATGTGAGGTTTGCCTACCACGAAGTTGTAAGAGACACACATGTCTGGTCCCTAGGTGCGCCGGACTGCCCATACTTACAGCAGCAACGTGGAACATCGTGAAGAAGGAGGTACTCCAGGCATCATCGAATCCATTCGGGCAGGTCTTGTGTTTAAGCTGAAGATGTCCTTCACACCCCAGTTTATCATGGCTAGAGAGCGGCAGTTGTTTAAGTAGGTCTTGTTATTGTTGTTGGTGAGGATGGTGGTGCGCTGCTGCTGCTGCTGCTGCTGTTGTTGTTGTTGTTGTTCTTCTTCTTCTTCTTCTAATGTTTGTCTTTTTTTCTTCCTCCTTATCATTCATTATCTGCCCCTGCTTCTTCTTCTTCTTCTTCTTCTTCATCCTTTTTCTTCTTCTCATTCTTCTCCTTTTTCTTCTTCTTTTTCTTCTTCTTCTTCCTCGTCATGTTCACTTTCTCCTCCTCCTCTTCTTTTTCGCCTTCCTCCTCCTGCTCATCATCATCATCATCATCATCAATATAGTAGCCGTTCATCTGTCCCAATCCTCACCACAGACAAGCCAAAGAAGCCTGGTGCAAGCTACCAAACCTGGTCATCCTGGGCAGCATGAACGTGGAGAGGCTGCCCATCTTCCCTCTGTTGTTCCTGAACCCGGAGACAGGCAGATTCATCCATCACGACTTTGTGGCCAAAATGCTGAACGATGTCTTCGGGATACAAGTCCGCAGTGGTTGCGCCTGCGCAGGTCCTTACGGTATGGTGAGTATAAAACTAGACACAGAACATGTCATTATACAGACATTCAGTGTAGAACATGTCATTTTACAGACATTCAGTGTAGAACATG